AAAAAAAAAAAAAAAAAGAAAGTAAGGTATTTGGTGTGGAGAAACCTTCAGCTAGATGCCAAATCTGAATGCCTTTGAGTCATGCTCTCCTTTGGTTCTGTGAACACATTTATAATGTACACATTGAAGTATTTTTCTATTAAATCTGCTATCTTTTCTCACAGGCAGTTTCTACTGTCAGCTTTTCTTTTTCTTGATGTATGGGCTGTACTTGTTGCTAATTGGACATTTTTGATAACATACTGAATCCTCTCAGAGCATGTTCAGTTTCTGCAAGGCCTTGTTATTGTTATTTGCTTTATTTTTTTAGTGACTGATTGGACTATTTTGGTGAAGTCTATTTCTGTAAGAGGAAAGAAACATAGCATTAAAGAGAGGTTTATTTTAGAAATAACCTGAGAGGGGCTTCTGGCCAATTTTGGCCAGGAGTGATTTTTCTTATAGACTAAGAATATATATTGGTTTTAGGGTGGGGGGGCTTATTACAAGCTTGGAATGTTTACGTGTGGGGAAAAGTTTACGGCAGAGTTGGAATGTCTCTGGGAGGAGTGAGGGTTATCTTGGGGCTGGCATCTTCTCACCCAGAGCAGAGTTATCTTGGCACTAGCATGTCTCTGATTGGGGAGGAGTCTGGAATGTTTTTGGTCAGAGATGTTATTTTTGGTTTATGGTCATGCTGACCTTAGCCATTAGGCTGATGCTGTTTGGATTTAGGCGGTGTTTGATTAAGGTGAATTTTTAAATGAGATGTTTGTCCACTATAGCGTCCACGATAGAGATGCTCCAGCTCTGTCAATTTCTTCCTCATAACTTTAAGCCTCTGATATTGCTCTTGGGGAGAAGTGGCTCAGCTTTGTTTCTGCATGCAGTCATCCTGTTCCTCTCTTGGACAGCACTCAGATGTTAAACTGTACTAATTGCTGGTTGGTGACTATTGTTCTTAAAAAAGTCCAGGGTCAAATTTGCCCTATAAGTTAATCCAAATGTGTTCTCTTCTTTCTAAGAGTACTATCTGAGATCAGTGTTTAATAGGAGAAGTCCATTAAGAGTCTAAACAAACACCTAACAGTGTTTTTCCCTAGTTTTCTCCACAAATTAGCTGGCCTAGAGTTCAGGCTGTATCTTCATTAAATCCATGAATCTCCTGTGAATTTTCACCTCCATTTCCGCTGCATTGAGAATGGGGTGCTATTTGGCAAGAGGTTAGGAGCTATGTGTTCGACAGCTCGCTTCTCTTCTACCTCAAGGCAAAATCTGACAGGGCTCTGAAGCTTGGGTAGAAACATTGGCAGGCTGCTTTCTGAGTAATCTTTTTGGGAACCGAGTGTTCAGAGGCAGGGAGGGACAAGAGCCTGATGTCTTCTTGGCCTGTCTCCTGGCATGGATCCACCACCTCACGAGCTGAGATAAAGTTGATCAGTATCCTAGTAGTCTGAGCACACTATGCTCACAGTAGAACCTCCAGTCAGTAGGAGCTGAGTGCAGAAACCATGTCCCCACTTTTCTAACGTACCCACACAGGATGTAGCTTCAGTGATGGGTAGGTGGAGGTAAGATCAGAAAAGCTGAAGTCTTGCCCCTCCTAGGAAAAAACCTGACTAGAAGCTGGGTGACAGAGCAGGAGCACTGCTATAGTGTACAAGCACCCATTTTAAAATTCACCTTAATCAAAAACCACCTAAATCCAAAGGGCATCAGCCTAATGGCTAAGGTCAGCATGATCATAAACCACAAATAATATCTCCAACCAGAAACATTCCAGGCTCCTCCCTCACCAGAGACATGCTAGCCCCAAGATAACCCCCGTCCGCCCAGGAAGATGTTAGCCCTGAGACATTCCAACCCCAGCATAAACTTCTCCCCCACACCAAAACATTCTAAGCGTGTAATCCCTCTCTCTCTAAAAACCAATATATACTGTTAGTCTGCAAGAGAAAGTGCTCCTGACCAAAATCAACCAGAAGCCCCTCTCAGGTTTTTTTCTAAAATAAACCTGTCTTTGATTGTCAAGGTGTGTTTCATGTTTCTTTCCTCTAACTCTTACATTTCATGCCAAAACTCAGGACAGGTGCTGGGGGCACAGGCTCTCTTGCAACCTAGGAAGCAGTGGGCAATTGGCAGCTCATCGTGAGTTAATTCCTGGATCCTGAGTGTCTCTGGCCACTTGCCCTGTCTTTTCTCTCAGTTCATTTTGCCCTTATCCTCCCATTTCTCTCTCTCTCTCTTTCCCTTGTGCGGCTGCAGTCCAAGAGGCCCTTTGCCGATTCCAACCAGAACATCCAATGTCAGACACTAATCCAGCTGACTAGTAAGATCTGCCCTCCCCTGGCTTTCTCACGGTACCCAGGAAAAGTCAGGTCTGCAGTCTTGGTCCTCAAAGGACCACTGGGACTAAGCTAAAGGAAATCTTGGGGACACCCGGTTTCTTCTCAGCTTGACTGTCCTATTTAGAAAGAGGACTCCACCTCTCTGGTCTTTTGTCTGGGGATGCCTAGAACTAAAACAGACACCCTCGGATTCTTCTCACCAGTCCACATGGGTGCCAGACAATCCCACATTCCTATGCCCTGTCCACTTTGCTCTCTTCTTCACAACCTTGCAAAACCTGGCTTAAGCATTTAGTCTTTTATTGTAACATGGCCAGGGCCCCAATACACATTAGATAATGACAGCTGATGGCCCGAAAATGGCACCTTTAAATTGCATATTCTCAGGAACCTTAACAACTTTATAACCAGGAACAGCAAATGGCAAGAGGTTCTCTATATTCAGGCTTAGAGGGGAGACCCCCTCACCTCCTTCTGTTTCCCGGTCTCCACCTCCCCCTCCCCTCCCCTCCAGATGGGAAGGAGGATGAAAAAGAAAAAAAAAAATACCAAAGATTTGGGAAGATGACTCCCTTTTCGGTTCCCAGCATCTCTGCTATCTGTAAGCCTTGAAAGAGTCGCAAATGAATGTTATCCCTACCGGCTGGAGCCCAGCACTGAGTCACGCCTCCATGTCTGCACAGCCCAGGCTCCCTCCTGGAAACACCTCTGCCAACTAATAGTTTACTGCCTTTGTCTTGTCTCTGTAAGCCTCCTCCCCTGCTGGTCCCCATTCATGCTGCATATGAAGTAGCAAATCAGTAAAGCCAAAAGATTGTAAGCTCGGACAGCCAACAAATGGACAATGACATAGTTTCACTTCAGTTTCCCCTTTAGCATTGTAAGCCTATAAAAGGGGAGAGAAGCTGCTTCTCGGGGAGCTTGGTAAATGAGGCTGTAGCCTCCCCGAAGCTCCCAGCCAAATAAGCCACTTCCTTCCTCACTTTAGTGTTTGATAGGTTTCTCGCCATTCCTGCATCACCTTAGATCCCAGCCCTCCCTGTGTCAAGCTTGCACCTCTCATAAAATCATTCTTAATGAAAACCCTCCCTGGGTCTCTCCCTCCTCCAAGCTGTGTGTATATTCAAAAGGCTTATTTTCATAAATCTTGTTGTCCTGGTGTCCTGGAAAAGGTTTCTTCCCAGTTAACTGGGAAGAATTACTTTTCTCCATTCTGTCTTGCCACTCTTGGTGCATGTATAAAAGACCCCAAAAATGACATCTGGTGGCCTGGGAAGTCAGAAAAGGTGCCACAGATCCTGTTTTAGGAAAAATCTGTTTTCCTTATGGAACCCCTGGAAGTA